GCGTCCTCAGCGTTGTTTCCTGCGCAGAGAGAGGGCCGAACCCTACACCCAGGCACTGATTTCACCGCAGCAAGAGGTTTCCCCCGTCCCTCCCTTGGCATGGTTAGTTTTTAAAGGCATGCGCACTACCAGAGCTGTGTGAGAGCACAGGAAACAGCATGGCTGTGAAGAAAGGCCATACTGGGTCACGTAGGCACCAGTGGCATGGACAGCCCCTTCCATCCGCTCCTGCCCCCCCAGCACCTCCTGCCTGCTGGGGACCAGCTGTTCAGCAGCATGTAGAAAACAGTGGGGGGAGAGGGAGGAGGAAAAGTGGCGTGTGTTTTTGGGGAAGGGCAGGGCCTGGGGCAGAGCATGGGGTCAGCAACTCCTACAGACAGTACGTGTGTTGGGTCCATCTAGCCCAATATCCTGTCTTCTGACAGTGACCGGTCCCAGATGCTTCGGAAGGAACCAACAGAGCTGGACAGTTTATTGACTGATCTGTCCCTGATTACCCAGTCTCAGCGCCTGGCAGCCAGAGGTGTAGGGACCCCCCCACAGCATGGGCTTGCGTCCCTGCGCACCTTGGCTAATAACCATTGGTCAGCCTATCCTCCAAGGAGCATCATGGGTAAAAAATGCAAATATATCCTGCAGGCAGTGTTCTCGTAATTCCATTTGCTGCCAGCAGGGGGATGTAGAGTTCATAGAACACTAGAACTGGAAGGGACCTCGAGCGGTTATCGATTCCAGCCCCCTGCCCTCACGGCAGGACCAAGCTCCGTCTAGATCATCCCTGACAGGCGTCTGTCCAACCTGCTCTTAAATATCCCCAGTGATGGAGATTAAACAACCTTCGTAGGCAATTTATTCCAGTGCTTCACCACCCTGACAGTGAGGAAGTTTTCCCTCAACCTCCCTTGCTGCAATTTAAGCCCATTGCTTCTTGGCCTATCCTCAGAGGCCAAGGAGAACCATTTTTTCCCTCCTCTTTGTAACACCCTTTTAGGTACTTGAAAGCGGCTCTCATGTCCCCTCTTAATCTTCTCTTTTCTAAACTAACCAAGCCCAGTTCTTTCAGTCTTCCCTCATAGCTCCTGTTTTCTAAACCTCTCATCATTTTTGTTGCTCTTCTCTGGACCTTCTCCAATTTCTCCATGTCTTTCTTGAAATGTGGGGCCCAGAACGGGACACAATCCTCCAACCGAGGCCTAACCGGTGCACAGCCGAGGAGAAGAATGACTTCTCGTGTCTTGCTCACAACAATCCTGTGAATGCCTCCCAGAGTCATGTTTGCATTTTTTTGCAGCGGTGTCACGCGATTGACTCATAATTAGCTTGTGGTCCACTATAACCCAAAATCCCTTTCTGCAGGGCTCCTTCCTAGACAGTCACTTCTCATTCTGTGTGGGAGACACGGATTGTTCCTTCCTAAGTGGAGCACTTTGCATTTGTCCAAATAGAACTTCAGCCTATTTCCCTCGGACCGTTTCTCTGGCTTATCTCTATTTCCTTCCCCCGCTCCATTCCTCCAGCTGTCTGGCGGGTTGCAAAGTTTGTGGTTGTGGCTTTGGAGAAGGGAACGGGTCCTTGGGGAGGTGATTGCACATGAGTCAGTAAGTGCCGAGGGCGATGTGGATATCGGTCATGCTGGAAAGGGAGCAGGAACTCACGTAGTCTCCGATGGGTGTTTTCTCTCAGTGTGTCTCTATCGACTTAGTCACCTCTCTCTCCCCGTCAGGTACATGATCACCTCACTGGACCGCACCCATGCCGGCGTCTACCGCTGCATCGTCCGCAATCGGATGGGGGCCCTCTTGCAAAGGCAGACGGAAGTACAGGTGGCATGTAAGTGGCACTCTCCTCATGGCTCCGTTGGGGGGGTCTTAGTCTCAGCAGCCGGGGTGCCCTGAATGCCCAGCCGGGCTCAGACGACCTTCCCGGCCCACGGCGGGTGGGTGTCATTGTTCTAAATTAGGGTTCTGCCGGTAGCGCCTGACCAAGGCTGGGGCCCCTCGGTGCTACGTGCTGTATCAGCACAGAACAGCAAAGAGTCCCTGCCCCAAGGACTGTCCAGTCTCAGGTCCGCATGGGCAGCCCTTTGGGAGCAGTGCTGCCCGGGGCTTGCAGTTCTCTGGGTAAATTCCTCTGCAGCATGGGCGGCTGGTAATTTAGGCAAGGGAAGACTCTGCCTTCCCAAAATTGCCTACGCACCACAGCCGCCAAGAAGGCTGGGGCCACGGCATGGGAGCCTGACTCCCCGGCTGCCAGGGAGGGCGAGAACACGGCCG